CTCAGTAAACCAGCTCCCTGTTCTTTTATGTAGCCAGCACCGTCTAGAACCTTGTATTCTCTAATTCTTGTTTGCGGCTTTGCGTCCATGATCTGTTTGTATTACCTCCTTAGTAAGATTGCTCGGAAACCTTTCTTCTAGCCATCTGTGTGTTTGCCAGAAAGGAAGACATAGGTTTTTCATGCCCAGGTCAGTGGGCAGAGGAGCGCTGTGCCCCTGGTAGTCAGCAGGGGCAGAGGCAGGGACGACCCCAATTCCAGAGCCCAGATGAAGCAGTCATGATGAAGATGGGGAATGAGGATCCCAGGCAGGAGAGTCGGGGCCTGGTCCCTTCCTGCTTGGGCATGGACACGTCAGAGACTTTAGCACAAGTTGGGAAAAGCCCCGTGACACTGCCCCCGACCCTGGCCCACCTCTGTTCTTGTAGAGGGTTGCGAAAATGATCATCGTGGAAAATATTAGAGGTGGCATGGATGGTAAACTTCAAGCAAAAGGAGCGGTGAAATTTCAAGACCTGGGATACTGGGAGAAGCTGATGAGGCCAGACATGTTCCAGGCCTTCTTAGATGACTGATGGGGGAGTGATCATGTCCTCAGGGCTGTCCCAGGGACTGCTGTGACCAAGGGGTTCCAAGCATCACTCAGATCTTCCCCCTTCTTCTGGAGACCTCATTCCTCTCCACACAAAGAGTGGGTTTTCTAAAAAGAACCACTTGAGATAGATTTAGGATTCTGACCTATTTTTAAAACCCCATGGCACCTTTTAGAAAGTCATTTTCCCCTAGTCGTTAAGGTTTCTGCCAGTATGATTTCTAGTCTTTGGGACACACAGAGGTCTCCTACTTTCCCCGGGTTTTTTATTCCAGGACACAAGGGGAGCTGATCAAGGCTGGGAAAAGGCAGCTCACAACCCCCTCATCTATGGCAAGCAAATTCTGGACTAGCAAAAGGGGATCAGTAACGATTGGCCATAGCTACTGCCTACATTCACCGGAATCCATCTTCCTATTCCTTTTAATATACTTGTGAATAATACATCAACACACACACACACACACACACACACACACACATACACACTCACTCACCACCACCTCACCACCACCACCACAACCACCACCATATAAAAATATAAGTAAGCTATTTCTTGCCCCCAGTTCTCACAAAGTATCTTCTCATTTGTACCCAATTCCATTTTACTGAGTACAATTTTGCAAAGAGCCATCACCTTCCGTAGGCCACTCCGGAGGGGTATGTGCATGGGGGGAGGGCATCCCTTCATTCACCCCCAAACAACTTAGGGTTTCCACACTTTTATGCCTGATTTTGTTCTTAGGCCTCTTCTTTGCAAAGCCTCCCTTGATTCCTTCTCATGATAGCCCCATCCAGGCCTTTCCTCTACCATACACCCCACTTCACCCCTAAGTTTCAGGGTTGAATCTCCTCTCCCCATATTTACAAAACCCAGGCAGGTTGGGTTGCTGGTGTGATGCTATCTGGGGCAGCCTTATCTAGCTACAAGGTGTGAATCAGAGATTACACCACACAGGGCTGGTGCCAGCCAGGCAGGCTGCCATATTGCCAAGTAACCCAGTGGTTGAACAGGATGGGTTGAGCAATATGCACCAATGGGAAGTGAGTTTATTAATCATGCCGCATAGTACACTGTTGACGAAAGTAACACTGAAGGCCTGGCTTGACTGGAGAAGGTGCAGGTGAGGCTGAATGCTAACTGTGACGACACCCAGTAAGCTATCTTCCTCTGATGATGTTCACTTGAAAAACACATAGAAATCTGGAAGGATTCATCCAGTTTAGCAAAGAGATGGATTATATGCTCCATCATTAGGACTTTTCGGCCATCTTGGATTCCCTCTGTTAAAAAAGGATACCTCCTTGTGGCTGTACACAAAGTTGTACAGCTTGGAAGTTTCAAAGTTTCATGAGGTGAGAGAAGGGAATTCAAGATGGCAGCCAGTGACCTAGAACTGTGTGGGCGAGAAAATTTAAGACTGCATATTGCATTCTTGTTATTGATCTCTTACTTCAAAAACATTCTTTTCTAAGGCCAGAGCCCACCTCCTCCACCCAGGTCTGCCTTCAACGTCTTAGTAACTATAGCCAACCAGGAATTCCACCCACATTTTTCACTGTGATGGGCCTACATGGAGGGCAGGATGCAGGGGTGGGGTGGGGGTGGGGGGGGGGGGGCGGTGGGGCGGTGATAAGAGCAGTTTCTGAGCAGGGACACCATAGTATAGTTCTGTCACTGTATGGCTGGCCTGGATGGCACCCCAGGCATTGACACACTGTCCCCCATTCATAATGTCATGCTACATTGACATAGCTCTGTATCAGACACCAAGCCCTTAAATGTTGCTGAGGCAGATAATATGCAAAATGCATGGCTGAGAAACCCAAGCAAGAGGGCAGGCAGGAGAGAGAGGATTGATCTGTCCAAAGACTGTTCTAGAACAAGCCTCCCAATGATAAGGGATTCTAAAAACGATGGGAAATAAGGTGAAGGAAGCAGGATGGAGATGTGGACACGGGAAGGAAGTGGAGGGTACATATCTCTTCAAGAGAAACGGAGAAAGCTCTAGGGCTGGCAAATCAAATCAGTTAAGGAAAGGGAAGGTTCTGGAGAAGAAAGCTCATAGGGTAGGGAAGCATCACTTCTGTGGGAGATAGAAGTTGTAAGATGGGAGGGATTACTGCTCTATAAAACATTCCCTGTATTTCTCCAAATTCCTGTGTTCTCTCTTCTCTTCTAAGCATCGGATCCTTGGGTAGCTCATAAGAGCTAGGACAGGCAGCTACAAATAATGAGGCCTGGAGTATCCTGTCCAAGCGCGACTGTGTTGTAATGCTTTTAAACCTGATTTTTCCCAATTATCTGACCACCAAAAAGCTTTCAATCTTTCTGGTTATCTTGCCAACAATGAAGAACCCCCTCTCAAATCTCCATCTGTTTCTCAGGCTTCAAAAGCTCTAGCAAGAGTAGTATTCAGTGTGGCCACAGAGACCACTGCAGGTCCTATTCTGGTGCTCCCTGAAGCCACCAGAGAAATAGTTCATAAGCCAGGAGATCCCCTCCCTTCTACTCTCAAATACCCATTGGAAACCAGAGAGAAAGATTCTAGAAGTTTCCAGTCATCAGCCCCGGCTCCCATGAGCTTATCTAATCTGTTCACCTAATCTCTCTGGCAGTTTGAGACTCCCAGAAGGGTGGAGGAGAATCCCTAGAACCACAGTAGAATTCTCTGAGAACCAGAGTAAACACTCAGCATTGAGTTTGAAACGCCAGAACCCACACGAAATTCTAACCAACTTCTAAGAACACCAGACTCCATGTTTCCACGGTGAGGGGTTTCAGAGCAAGAACCACAAAAACCAGGCGTAAGAACCTATCAAACCAACCACCAGCCAGAAACAAAACAAGACAAAAAAACAGGCCAAACTAAAACTTTATGCTATGAAAACAAGAAATAAAATAAGGAGATTTATAGGCCGGCTGATTGTCAGCAAACACAATATATTTACTGTATTAGCATTTGCTCACAGTGCAAATGGTACAACATTACACCATTTCAATATTTCAGTTTTTAAAAATGCTGTTTTCATTAACTATATTATATTGGCATAACAATGTGACAAAGGAGCAAATGAAATGTTGGTGAAGAATTTCACCTTTGCACGATAACAAGCATATTTTTTTAACCTTAGTATAAGGTACTATAAATCCAAGAAATAAAAACATCCACAAAATATATTACATCTGGTTTGTCTTTTTCTAAGTACTCAACTTTATACAAAAGTCTTTCAAAAAATATCATTCCCCATAGGTTTTCCTGTTTAAAACCTGATTTTTTTCTCTCAGTTCACATAAGTTAGAGTGCATTTTCTTTTGCTGTTTTTTTTTCTTAAAACATGCAGACATATAAAAAATCTGGATAGCACAACCTTTTGGCAACAAAGCTATTTTTCTCTTAGTTTAGCTTAAATGTCTGAGAACAGTTTTATTAAAACAAAGGAAAACTCAGAGTTATCATGCAGTGACATGCATATACCAGAAGGAGTAAGGAAAAAATATTAAAGGATATCTGATTCCTCCTTCCAGCTTTGAAGTGACCAAAAGTTTTGTTTTTAATAATCATCACATTATAAAAAGTATTCAGCAAAATACTGTCTCTGCAAAGAAAGATTTTACCCTTCAGCTGAAAAAATATGGGCCCTCCCGGTAAACCTCATCCACTTCTCTCTCCTTCTACAAAAAGTCCAAGTACCTGGAAGTCCACAGTCGCCTGCTCTTTGATTTTTTCCCCCCTTTCACTAGACTCCTTTAGTATTATCTATCCGCCACCAAAAAAACCGGTGCTTTTTTCTTTAAAAAAAAAAAAAAAAAGTGGGAAATGCATAAAGTGACTTTAAAAACAGACATTCTGTAAACTCCAGACCTTTGTTCCTTCTCTCTGGGCAGCTTACTGACCACAGGAGAAATAACGCTAACAGGGAACAGTACATTCAGGCAAGACTGCACTGGAAGCTGTGTCAGAGAGTAACCTTCCCTACTACTCCACTTCCAAAGAGTCACCCCTGTGTGGAGGAGGCTGGGGAGAGGGGGTGCCTGAGAAGAGGTGAGGTAGGGCGGGGAGAAGGTGAGACTGGGGTATGGAGAAGATGTGCCTCATTCATCAACATGGATTAATGCAAACATCCCCATAGCTTTGAGGAAAATTTGGACAGAGATGTGTGTCTATGTGTGTATATGGATGCATATATACATACTCACACACACATACACACATGTAGATATAATCTCATCAGTTAAATTTTTCATAAAAAATAAATCATTTAAAGCTGTAAATGCCTACAAATTCTCTTTATTCCAGTGCACTGCACTGGATAGCCAAGTACCTTAGAGATTTTATTTTACTAGGAATACATATTGTGTGCATGTTATATATAAATGTATATATGTGTGTGTGTGTAGACACACATATATACATACATACACACACACACACACCATATTCATAAATTTGAATTCTACCTGTTGTGTTGGTGATGACAAAGAGAGAGAGGGGAAAAAAGGCTGCATTCCCATTAATGGTGGGAAGAGAAATGGGTATGTGAGTGAGAGAACAAAAAGATGGCACAATGGGGTGGTTGGTTGAGGCCTGCCTTTTTGGAAAAAGATTTGGAAAGAGATGGGAAAAGGCTCAGAGGGGAGGAAGGAGAGGAGGGGGAAAAAGGGCAGAGGGCAAACTCAGGAACAGAGATTTAAAAATCTCTGGGGCCGAGGAAACACATTTTTTTTAAAGGCAGGTTCAGTGATGGCTGCTGCTTCTCCCCGAAGATCAAACTGCCCTGAGGCCTTGAGAGGGAAGCGCTCGGAAAAGGAGGGATTCTGAGGGGCCAAACCCTAAGCTGCGGTAGCAGCACCGCGGCGGCGGCACCCGAGGCATTTCTGTAAGAAACATTATTTCGGAGCAGATGGAAGACCGTCTCGTCCCGCCACGTGCAGGCCCCCAGCGGCCTGGGGACCCGAGGTGGGGAAGAGTTTGGGGTGGACATAGCCCAGTTCAGCTCAAGAGTCTCGCACACACACGTGCGGGCGCGCGCGCGCGCGCACACACACACACACACACACACACACACACAGAAACACGCACACATACACTCACGCGAGCACGCACACTCGCGCGCATCCCCGCACGCAGGCGCGCGTGCGTGCGGCGGGCAGCAAGCTCTGCGCTTTGGTGCGCTCCTTACCCCCTCCCCCTCTCGGGTCTTCGATGGGGAACCGAGGGAGACGTGGGGGGAACCGTGAGGTGCTTGGGTCCAGCGAGGCTTGGGCGGGCCCAGCCTTCAGTCCCCCGCAGGTCCTTGGCCCGGCCCGGCGGCCCCTGGATCAAGACGATCCCAACTGAACAAAGCGGGCTAGACGCCACCTTTCGGCCCCCACGCCTTGGCTAATGGGGGGCAGCAAGGGGAAGGCGCCTCCTGCCCTGGCCCCTGACCGCTGGCCGGTGTGAGAGGGTGGAAACGGGGGACAGCGAAGGGAAACAAGGGGCCTTACGTCCATGGAGAGGCCAGGGCGCGGCCCCTGCGCCTCCGTGGCTAGCTTTCCGGCTGCATTCAGGCCAGCAGCTGGGAGACACTGAAGGGGAAAAGTGTGGTCTGGGGGCCCGAGCCTCAGGCGCAGGTGGTGACCACAGGGGCCAGGGACACCGGGGCCGCCGAGGACGCAGAAGGCGCACCCGCCTTCTCCGCCTTCTTCTCCTTCTGCTTGAGGTGGATTTTGGCGTGGCGCTTGCGCTCGTCGCTGCGCGCAAACTTGCGCCCGCAGAATTCGCAGGCAAAGGGCTTCTCGCCCGTATGCGTGCGGATGTGAGTGGTAAGGTGGTCGCTGCGGCTGAAGCTCCGCATGCAGATCCGGCACTGGAAGGGCTTGTGGCCCGTGTGGATGCGCAGATGCCGGGTCAGCTCGTCCGAGCGGCTGAAACGGCGGTCGCAGCCCTCCGCCGGGCACGCGTGGGGCCGCTCGTGGAGCGGGGTCTTGCTGGGTCGGTTGGGGTACTTGCGGGGCCGGATGGGCTTGAGCGTGAGCGGCGGCTGGGGCAGGCTGCCAAAGCCCGGGTGGATCTGCTTGTCTTTGAATGCCTTGATGGTCTCCAGGGGGGTAATAGGGGGCGGGTTGACCCGGATGGGGTCCATGCCCTGGAAGGGCTTGTGCTCCGGAATGGAGCCCATGTCGTTGGGGTGGTGGTATAGGTTGTAGTCAGGAATCATGGGGAAGAGATTGCTGTCCAAGGCCGGTTTGGCCGATTGGTAATCCTGGGGGGAATAGGCGAGCCCGGGGTTGCCCTGGGGATCGTGGAAAGACACAGGCTCCGAGTAGAGATCACTGCAGTTAGAATAGGGGGGCAGCGCCGGATACATGGCCTCCACTTCCCCCTGCGGCGGCTGCACCATGCTGGCTGTGGAGGTTTGCGTGCTGAGTGCCCCAGAGGCCGGGGGCACCCCCAAGATGCCGGCGCTCATGAGGCTAATGATGTTGTCCTGGCACCAGTTGGAAGGGGAGTCAAAGGCGAACTTTCCCAAGTAGGTCACGGTCTTGTTGCCAGGGGCTGGCTGGAAGGAGCCCGAATAAGAGAGTTCCGGGTTGGGCTTCTCGTTGGTCAGACCGATGTCCATCACATTCTCTGCGGAGAGCGGGGGAGAGAGGGGGAGGGGTGAGTGAAGCCGAGTCGGCTCCCAGGCAGGGGCGCCCAGGTCCTTGCCCAGGTGTGGAGGTGCGGCCGGGTGGAGTGCGCAGCGCATGGGGTAGGCTGCGCCAGGCGCAAAGCGGGCGGTGCCGCGCTCCCGGGCGCAACCTGGATACAGGAAAATACTACTGATCGGGGTGTGGAGTGGCTGCTGCACACACACCGCACACGCCGTACACACACACTCCCGTACCACACACACACACACACACACACACACACACACACAGGCGCGAGCGCGAGCAGCATTGTTGTTATTCCCGAGGTGGGGCGGGCAGGTAGCTGCAGCTACAGGTAGTTTCAGACCCGAAGCGCGCCGGGCTCTCGCTCTCCAGCGCACACAACTCGGCCTCTTCCCCTAGCGCTGTCCGCGCCGGACCCCGCGCCTCTCCTGCCCTGACGAAGCCCCCGGTGCGCATTGCGCCCGGGGAGCTGACCCGGAGTGCTCCGACGCTTTGTCCGCGGCGCGTAGAGGGGTGCTGTCCGCAAAGGGAGCTCTCCCGCCGCCTCCCCCAGCCCCAGCCTCCACCGGGCCTGAAGGAGCTTTCGGCTTTTGCTGGAGGGGGAAGCCCAGCCTCAGCTTAGCGAGAGTGGAGGGCGGCGGAAAACCGGCCGGTGTCTCCATGGCGGGAGTCCGGGGATCGTCCCCTGTGGCAGCCCCCGCGAGGGTGGGCCCCCACCTTCTCCCCTCCCCGCCGTCCCCACACCCCCACGGCTTTGCTGAAAGCCCTGGAAAGGCAGCGTCGCAGTACCTCTCCCACCGCGGGGACTCCACGCCGCCCATGGCTCCATCCCGGGTGGGAGCCTGAGGGAGTAAGGGGGGAGAGCGCGGGTGAAAAGGGACGTTGGGCTCCTCCTGGGAAAGGGGGCGACAGCGTTACGCCTTGCGCGCAGCCCGGCGATCGCGCCCCCTAAGTGGAGAACCCCAGAGCCGCTTGCACCTACCTCCCTTCGGTCGGCGGCTGCCCCCACCCGGGAGAACCGAAGCCTCTACCGTGGCGTCGCCAACCGAGCCTTCCCGATCGGGGAGGGCGGGAGGAGTGGGTGGGAAAAGCAACTCGCCCCCCGGAAAATTCCCAGCGCCCCCCCATATCTCCATCCATCCATCCATCCATCCATCTATCCATCCATCCATCCATCCATCCATCCATCCATCCATCCATCCATCGCTAGCTCGTTCCCTCCTCCTCTTCCTCTCTCCCTTTCCTTCCTCGCCGCCTCCCCGCCGCCCTTACCTGTAGCCATCTGATTGTAATGGGCTACCGAGTCGCTGCTGCCAGAAAAGAGGTTGAGCGCGCTGGGGATCTCCTCGGGGTACAGATTGTCAGGCAGCTGGTTTAGCAAACTGCTCATGGTCACCGGCAGCTTCTCGGCGAGTTTGCCGGTCATAGCACTCCCGAGCTGCCGCCGCCGCCGCCGCCGCCACCGCCACCGCCGCCGCTCGCTCTTAACGCAGCTTCCAGGCAAGCGGCATCGGAGAGGCGATCCGTGGTGCAGGGGAAAAGCATGCGAGAGGGAAAGTTCGGGAGGAGGGGGGAGGGAAGAGGGGAAGGGGTGGGCCTGGGGAGGGGATCTTCTCTTTTTGGGGGGTGGGTGGGAGAGAGGGCAAAGGAGGGG